ACACAAACAGGCACATACAAATACAGAGACAGACACACTCACAGGCATCGAAGTTGACATATGACCTTAAATAACAAAATCACTTTATATTTGATCAAATAGGCCAGATGTAGAGGATATATACCACTTTTTAGGGATTTGCCGGTGAGTTTTCTTGACTCGTTAGCTTGAATTTTGTTGTGGCGATGGTACCTCGCTCTGATGATGTCCGTCATATGACGGAAGAAAGCTTAGCTCCTTTTCACCGGAATCGAAGAAGATTGCCTCGGAAACAGCGTCCGCATTAATCTTCCAGTAAAGCCAGTCGACAGCTGGTCAAGAGGAATCCGCCGTCGCCTTCTGGTGGAACCGACCAACACTTTTACTCGAAATGGAAGTAAGCTCAACAATAGAACTTTGCTGCATTGAGAATCCCACAAAGAATATGATATGGGAAAATGCGTGGCCTTCCTTGAAATTCACTTAGGCTCTGTGGCCAATGGGCACTAGTAGCAATATGGCATAGTTGTTAACGTATCAAGATTACGTGCTGCACTTTCATGATTCGACTACAACTGGGGGTGTTTATAAGACCGATTTGAGGTAGAAACTGCAGTCCACTCTGGATGAGATCATCTTTGGGAAGCAAGGCTATGTGAAATTTAATGGAAACGTCAGTTATATTCATAAAAATGTTGGAAAATTCAACAACCACTCCCTCATCAATTTAAACTAAATAGGGTGATTTGCTGGTAATCTTAAAGCCCTACTTATGAACGAAAAATAAGGCCCTTATATTTTAGGTCATGCTTAATCCTTCGCTTAATTTTAAAGTCACATATTCTGCAAACATTTGGTTGATGGGCACCTTATCTGTTGCCATCTACTAGCTCGATAAGGTCGGAAAACCAATGTTTTGCAGGATTTGGGGACCTCATATGCAATCGGTAGAATAAGTAAATATAAATTGATACTACGACCAACCCTTTTATTAGGAGGAAAATTAAGCTGGAACTATCTTTGGTTACTTTATATATTATGTAATGATATTTGAGCAAGATCCGCACTTTTATACATCAATTGACTCACAATTATTGCATAAAATAAACATGTACTTAAACATTACAATTGATATATTTAATGAAACATCTGTCGATCCACATCATTGTCCTCTTTATGCAACAACTCTTCACTTTGGCAACCATGTAGGATAAGCAAGAAGTAACCATGCAATCATGAGATGTCTAATTAAAATTGGAAAATTGGGTTGA